ATATATTTATGTTTGTGGTTGTAATGTGACAAAATATGGAAAAGTTCAAGGGGTATGAATACTTTTGCAAACCACTGTATATATATATTATACTAGTTGAACGTTTTCCCTTCACAAACCTCTGACTGATTAATAAGGTAATCTCAAATGCTGCAATATAAGGAAAGAGCATTAAGAATGTCCCTTCAGATTCCATATATAGTAACAGCAACCTATGTTTCCAGTCATGAGAACCTTTACACTTGCTGTAATTAGCAAAAAGACAAACACCTGCACGAGCACACACTAAAATAACAGGAAAAAAATGTTGTTATGCTTTGTCTCCCTTTACATTTAGAAATAGCAAATACAAAGTTGCACAAGAGATATGAACAATAAACCAGCAACGTCTCTCCTGACACCCACCACCATTTTTTTCTTTCCTTCTTTCTTTGGCGTGTGTATATGTGTGTGTTGTTCACATGCTGTCCCCTGAGGGAGACTCCATGAGCCAAGAGAGAGAAATGAGAACAAAAGAAAGTGAAGAAAAAAGTACATGAGCATTGTGCATTGGGGGGATTACACAGTGCAGTATAAAGACGGTGTCTTATTACAAACAATACTATGTTTGTGTCTTCAAGGTCAAATGCATGAAGAGACAATATGAAACTTTTGAGATTCATCCAGGTGACTTTTTCACATCAAAAAGCTTTAACATTCCAAGGTCAGTAAATAAAAAGACAGCAGGTGTAGAGCACTGACACTAAATTTTCTTTTTTGATTCTGCAAAAAAACATGTCAATATAACGTGAGTACTTTATTTCAGCTTAATTGCCTTACCTTGTGAATTTATTACAACAATTCGATTATGTTACAGCAGGTAATGTGTAAGAATCTAAACCGCAAAGATCATTCAGTTGTAAACATGGTCCTCCTTTAAAATAGAAATAAAACCATTTTCATTGAGGAATACATCAGGTTTTCCTTTTTCTTTAGTGAATCCATTTTTTACACTGCTTCTTCTTTCCAGGTGGTGGGGAGCTGGTGCCTGTCTCTGGCAGATGCTGCGTGAGAGGCAGGGTGCACCCGTAACAGGTGCAAGTCCATCACAGGACTTGGTAAAAATCTGGAAGATCCAATCAGTACTGACAGTGGGAGGACACCCCACTCAGCAGCTGTAGCTCAGGAAGAAGCAGCGATCCACCAGTCAGAGGGTGGTCCAGTTCCTGCCTTCACAGGTTTACATTTTATGTCCCTTTGGGCAAAATACAAGTCTACACATGTTCAGTGGGGTGTGTGTGGATAGATTAAAAATAAATAAATGTTATAAGTATTCAGCAAATTTTAATGTAAAATTGCACTTCATTTGAGTCAGAAACGTATGATGATTATATATATATATA